GGAGTTGAATCCTCCTCTCGCCTTCTTTTCACACCAGATTAACACCACTGGTTCCAGTGGAGCGACTCCTGAGTTACCCCGGTGTGAGCGAGAGGAGAACCAGTCCTGAGGTGCTCTAAATATCCAGTGAAAGTGCTAATGTGGCAATGCAGAAAAGCAGGGAATCTGAGCACAGGCCTGGAAGAGGACCCAACAACAACAACAACCCCCTCGTCGCTGAGCTGCAGGTGACCACCAAGAGGACATATTAGCCAAGAGTGGCCACAAAAACATTCATTCAGACCCTTCCCTCCACCTCTGCAAACCATAGCCGTGCTGTTTGCTTCCTAAGACACCTATGACAAACACCAGACCTTCAGAACAAAAAGCCTCACGTGCTACTTTGCCATTCAGAGACCTCAGAAAAACCAGAAATCCCTCCCGTGGGGAGCTTGGGATGAACTCCCTCTTTCTTTTTATCTTCTCTCCTGTCTTCTAAACCCTTCTCCTCCAGTCATGGCCATTTCTTTCATTTAGAATAATACATTCCCCAAGTGACAGTATTTACGTTGTCGCTATAGGTGAGCTCCTTCTTGCTAAGGCTTCTCACGGGGCTGCATTAAGGGTTGGGGTTGGAAAACACTGGGTCTGAAGGGATCTCAGCAGGATGCCCTTCCCCTCCCTTTGTAATGTGGCTCACGGTGGAGCATCCTGGCTGATGCAACTATTGCAAGGGTTGTGGGTTTGTACACGCTACCAATGCAGACAGCCTGGGGATGCCACAAGCATTGCAAAGCAGACTGAACTCATGCAAACGATCTACTGCATGGATGGGGGGTGTTAGGTTGGGGTTTTTTACACTTCTCCAAGGCTTAGTGTGGATGAGGTGAAACATCAGGAGCTGGCCTACAGCATTCAGGACAGATGTGGATCACAAACATGTCTTAGTACAGGGGCATGGAAAAAGCCCCCCTCAGACTCTGAATTTCCACAGCCCTGTACATGAGGTCAGGCACCTTATTCCCAGCGTGAGTCATTCTGACATGCCCTTGCCTCTCCAGATATAAAATAACAACTACGGAGCAAAGCTATCCTCTTCAGGGAGAGAGGTTTAGATATACACTCCCTCGGGAATTTGTGTTGGTTGTTGCATCAGGAGCTGTAGGAAAGCTCCAGCTACCCTGCTGGATACTCTTTGCTCCACTCTTTACTTCTGGGACCTCCTGCCTCTCGTGCTGCTCTCAGCTCACTCGATATCCTGCTAGACAAATCATTCCTCAAATACCCCTGTTCTCCTTCCAGTTTCCATCCCATGCTACATCCTTTATACTTGTTCCTTTTAGCCTTTTAAAACCTGTCTGAAGAGGCAACTCAAGGAAATCCAAATGCTTTTCTCTGCTCCCTTCCTGTACCCTGAAGACAGCCCAGCTTCCTATACAAATCTTGTGTATTACACATTAAACCAGTGCCTGCTCAAGGCAGGGTTTGTCTGTGTGCTCTCTCTCACGCTCTCTTTGCCCTGACTCTCTGGCAGGATCAGGACACGGCACAACAAGAAAGATAGGGAGGTGCTTGGTTACAGCTAGTAATTTTAAACTGGAACCAAGGGAGAGGAATTACTATTGAGATTATTTAGGTTTGTAGTTGGTAACCACATACCCCGCTCTCATTGTGGGGGAAAAAGACCAAAACACAAACCCCAACCCTTTGTTCTCTAAGCAACATGGCAAAGTATGTTGTTACGAACGGTGACAAAACACACGCGATGCCCTAACTGTCAGCCAAGGGGGAGGCAACATGAGAAACACAAAGATAAAGCATCCCCAGGGAGAGACGAGTGTTTCTGGTTTTTGAGGAGGGAGGAAGGCCTATGTCCGGGAAGACATTAGAGGCAGTTTTCCTTATAAAGCTAAACATAGTAAAGTGGAGGCAAGATGAGAAGTTCTGGGTCAGAAGTGAGAAGAGCAGGGAGACCACGCGGCCTTTGCAGAAACAGGCAAGACTGCCCTTATAAGAAAACTCTTGTGAATAGCCATGACAGGAGATGAGGCTAAACAAAAACCGTGCTCCCTCCTTCCTGCCTCCTCCCAAACACCTCTCCCACAGATGCTGAGAGCCGAACTTCAGGTCTCTCAACTCCGTGCTAGAGACACAGCGTGCCTGCAGCGACCGAGCCGGGCTTGGGCACCTCGTGTGCTATGAACAGCAAACATACTCTACGCCTCTCCTCCCTACACCTCATCCCCCCGTGTCCATCAGAGCGCTCTCCTTCCCCAAACACCATCCACCCCCCTGCCACCTCTGCAGCAGAAACGGGCAGGGGGGTGAGACCTGACATACGGTCCAAGCAGTGCCTGATGTCCGCGCTACATTTGCTGAATTGAGGTCAGGCTGGAAGGTGTCTCAGGGTTTACCACCCATCATGACATGGGAATATTAGCATATATATCGTTTATGAAGTATGACACAATACCTATCTGTCAGTCAGCCCATCTTTCTACCTATTTAGTCTGTCTAATCTACTTTAGCTAGCTACATTTCACTATCTCTATCAATCATCTATTGCTCCGTATTAGCTAATTTCTTCCTGTCTCTCTCTCACCTTTTTCACTCTAATCTTTCTTACTCTAGCTATACTCCCCTCTCTCTCCCTATCATCCATCTATCCACTCGAAAGTCTTCCCCCCCTCCTCTCTGTAATCCCTGTTTTTAAAAATCTCTGTCCAATCTCTCTCCCACTCTCTCTTTTAAGTCCTCCCTCTCTCCCTCTCTCTTATTTCTACACAGCACCAGGAAGCACATGGAAATGAATCCTGATGCATTTTGATGGCAATTCCAGTGAGCGGTCTATGTTCAAACTGATCATCTCGGAGGAGACACCGTACATCTTTTCTCCCTATTTCCAACAAAGAGATGGAGGAGAACAAACAAGTAGGGCAGGGAAAGGCAACCAGTCCTCTGAAGGCCACAGGGCTGCCACTCCAAGCATCAGCCATCAAGGGATGTTGGGGCTGTCAGCAAACCCATCTTTTTGGTGTTACTGCTGTGAGGCCAATTTAGTGGTGCAGCATCACATGGCAACCCTTGCCAGTGTGGCCAGGAAGCCATGGTGGGAAAGCACATGATAATAATCCGGGCAGTGAAAGAGCAAAAAGCTTTCATAAAAGCCCAGTTATTACTGAATACATTTTAACTGCTCACCCTGGCAGCTCATAAACAGAGCAGCAGACCCCAATGGCTGTCAGTCCTCCACCAGGACAGGCTGGGTCTAATGGGTGTCCACTTGGTGCGCAGCAGGGAACATCCCGAACCCCACGGAAAGCAGTAGTGGTCTCTGCCCGCACCATGCTTTTAGCCGGCTGCAGAGGAAGGCCATGAACGACAGCTTAGAGCCATGGCCTCTGGAAGAACCATCCCAGCTTTCTCCAGGGAGCAGAAATGAGGTATTTCTCAAAGTGCCATCGACTGGGTCTCACACCACCAGACCTTGTCCTGCCCACTACTGGCTATTTATTCAATGCATTGGCCCAATTTATTATGCCAAACAAAACACTTTTGGAGGGCTGTGCTATGCTATTCAACTCCAGCCCAACGGGGTCAGCATCAACCTATCTGCGAAGAGAAGCTCAGGCCTCGGGTCCCTATCCCCTCATAGCCCTTAGTGCACCCTTTGACAGGGGTTGGACCTTCAGCATGGACCAAAGCTGGTCCCTCTGCTGGCTCATCCCTCCAAGGTCACCACAGTTCTCCAAATCAGGGCTTAGAGGTCTCCTAGAAGGCTGCTTATTTAGTTCCTTCCTGAAACTGATTTTGCTACTTTCATTGATGCTAAGGCCTCACTCCAAATCCAAGCCCGCTTCCCTTAAAATTCCCTTCAGTAGTGCCAAGGGAGAGCGGTTGGTCACTGACCAGTGGCCAGGGAGCACAGTAGGGCCACGCAGAAGCAGCCCACCAAAGCCTGCAGGCCAGCAGGGCGTACGGCAGCATAGAAATGCGACACGGTGGTGTTAATTATCATTATTCTCATTTATTATCATTATTGTTCAGTTTGAAAAAGGAGCCTGAAGCCAAGCATTACGCTAGTTGGCACATTGCTTATTTTGTTGTTGTTCTAGTTCTGAAAACAAACTGGGGTTTTTAGTATTATTTGTTTGGTTGGATTTGGTCTTTTTCGTTCATTCCATCGCATTGAAAAAAGGAAGAAAAGGATTTTTATTCTTTCTTTTTTTTCCCCCCTCTGTTGTTTTAACTCACTCGGTAAAGTCTGGACTCCTCGGATGAATGGAACATTGCACACACACACACACACTTGGAGAAGAGAGGGAGAGGAGAGGAAAGAGAGAAAGAGAGGGAGCGCTCGCGGTGGGCAGACAGACACACGCACGCGCCAGGTCAAGGAACTCTGATACAGTGCAAGAATTTTCCCAAAATGATTGGATCATCATTACCAAAAAACTCGCCATAACAACACCAAGGAACAAAGAAATGTTTAAGCCACACTGTTTGACTGGGATTTTTCCTGCCTTTTTTTTTTTTTTTTGTTCTTTTTTTCTTTTTTCTCTTTTTTCTTTAAATGTTTGCCACACAGAGAGAAAAAGGGTTTTCAGTGGGAATGGGAAAGGGATGGACAGGCTCACGGATGTGAGCGGGAAGGGGGGAAGATCGAGATGGGGGTGGGAAGGAAGGATAGAGGATAGGGGGAGGGAGGGAGGGGCAATGGGGAGTCATTTCTTAATGTTCAGGCATTTTCTTGGTCCGCCTTGCTCTCTTCTTCTTTCACCTCTTCCTGCTGGGCACTTTCAGTAGGTTTGGTTTCTTCTACAGCATCTAGTGGGGAAAGAGATGGTCCAGGGTTAGTCGGCCGTGATCTAGAGCATCCTGCATGTGCACACAGCCATTGCATGATGGACTGCATGGCTTCAGGCTTGTCTCTCCCCAGTGACCCATGTCTCAAAGTCCCTGGCATTCGTGCTGCATGGAAAGAACGTGCCAGGGTTCAGGCGAGTGTGTAGCTCTCACAAAACCCCCCCAGCCCCACCAGAAAGCACGTGTAACTGCCTAGCTCGCTGCTGATGTGGCAAGCAACCACCATTCATTTCATCTGGTGCACTGATGAGGCTCTTGGCTAACCAGCTAGATCAGATCCCTTTTTACTGCACCCACTGACCGAGCCAGCCTCTGTTGAATCGTTGTACCACTGCAGATACTCCCAGACAAGACCTAAAGTCTACACACACTTGAAGCTTTCAAGCCCCAAAGGGAAACAACATATAACCTGTAACTTGGACTTCTCTTACACTGAACTGACATCTAGGAAAATGTCTCTAGCCTTCAGGAATGGGAGCCTTCATACGGGTTGTCACATCTCTCCAGTTTTCTGGGCTCTCCTGAAGGCAGAGCTGCTCCCAGGGGAAGTAATGAATGTAACTGGAGGCTGGGTCTGTCTGTCAATCAGACACCTTGTCCAGGCACACTGTTCACACGAGGATTTAAAATGAAGGCTAGGAACAACCCCACAACAATGAACTAGACAGAGGATCAGAACCGGAGGGAAGGCAGTTTGGAAGGACAAGGCAAATGAAAGGAGCAGTCCTCAAGCTGGAGTGATCTTACTGCTGTATTCATCCAGCCTGAGACACTGAACTGCAGCAGGATGGATTTG